TCCAAAGAAAGTAGAATCAAATTCTTAAAAGGAACAAAATTACAACAAGTACAAAACAAATAGTAATATGGCATAGAAACCTCACCATAAGAAGAATTACATTAAATGTAAATGCAATAAATATTCCCATTAAAAGTCTAGACCACACACTATGAGAAAACTGTCAAAACTATAATGATACAGATAGGTAAAGGTAAATAAGGAGAAAAGATATACTGTGCAAATACCTACAACCAAAAAAGAAGATCTCAAAAAACTTTGTGTTACACCCTAGGAACTACAAAAACAAGAATAAAGTTGATTCAAAACTAGTAGAATAAAGAAAATAATAAAGATTAAAGCAGGGCTGGCAGGGGTTTCGGCTTTAGCTGGCAGCAGTTTGGTGCCTGCCTTGCAAGCACAAGGACCTGAGTTGGATTCCCGGTACCCCCGCCCCCCTGCAAAAAAAAGCTTTCTAAAGTAGGGCTGGGGACATAGCTCCGTGATACCTGCCTAGCAATTGCAAGGCTCTGAATTTGAGTGCCAGTATCAAAAAACAAAACAAAAGATTGAGCAGAAATAAATGAAATGTCTAGAGTTCATTTTTTGAAAAAAAAAAGTCAACAAACTTTTAGAGAAATGAAAAAAAGAGAGAACGCTAATACACAAAATTAGAGACATTACCACTAACACAGAAATGTAAAGGCTCATGTAAGAGACTAGTAGGAACAATTATAAGGCAACAGTATGGGTAATCTAGAAGAAAAGAGTAAATTCCTAGCCACATACAACTTACCAAGATTGTATTATGGAAAAGAGAAAATCTAAACATCTAACGTCACATTGGATGTTGAAAGCTCTTCCTTCAACACAGGGATGCCCCTTTTGCCATTTCTAGTGAACGAAGTATACAAAGTCCCGCCCAGCCAGAGTAATTGGGCAAGATAAATGAAAGGCATCAAAACTGTACAGGAAGAAGTTATGCAGATGATATGATCTTCAACATAGAAATTTCTGAAGATTATACTAAAAACTGTTGGATTTAATAAACAAATTTGGTAAAGGTGCAGGATAACAAATCAACATATAAAAATCAGGAGCATTTCGATACACTACAATGAATTATCTGAAAAAAAATCAAGAAAATAATCCTATTTACTATAGCTACCAAAAACCTCTCAGGAATATACTTAACAAGAGAGATAAAAGATCTGTACATTGAAAAACTACGCAATACTGATGAAAAAAAAACAGAAAACATAAATAAATGGAAAGATAATGAGTAAATGGAATAATAATGAATAAACGGAAAGATAAAGAATATTATTAAAATGTCCATATTACTCAAAGCAATCCATAATTCTATATAATTTATATAAAAATATCAATGACTTTTTAAGAAATAGGAATTATGGTATAAAATCTGTATGGATTTATAAAAAACTCTGAATTGCCAAAGCCGTTTTGACCAAATGCAATAAACTGAGGCATTGCACTATTTAGCTTCAAAATATGCCACACAATTATAGCAACCAAAAGAGAATGTTACTGGCACACTAAAACAAGACAAAGGGACAAAAGAAGCCCAGAAATAAATCCACACGTTTACAGCCAACTGAGTTTCAACTAACATGCTCAAAACACACAATGGGGAATGGACAGTCACTTTGATAACTGGTATTATATAAACTGACATCAACATGCAAAAGAATGAAATTAGACCTTTATCTCTCACCTACGGAAAAAAAAAAAAAAAATCAATTCAAGAGCCAGGCACACATACACTTGTAATCCCAGATCTTGGAAGACTGAGGCAGGGGGATCACAACTGAGACTTTGCCTCAAGAAACAAACAAAACAAACAAATAAAAACTCAAAATGGATTAAAGACTTAAATGTAGGGCTTCAAACTGTGACATTATTAGAGAAAAACAGAGGAAAAAGTTTCATGACATTTTCTGGGCAATGGTTTCTTTTGGGTATGACTTCAAAATCATAGGCAACAATAAACAAACAGAATTACAATAATTACAATTACACAATAATTACAATTACAGCAAAGGAAACAACAAAGAGACAACCTACACAATTGGAGAGAAAATTTTCACACTATATATTGGATAAAGCGTTAATACCTGAAATACATAGGGATCTCAAAAACTTTATATTACAAATAATTCAATAGTAGGAAAACAACCCTATTTATTGGGTTTTGATTTTTTTGTCCTCCTCCCCCCTTCCCCCCCTTCTTCTTCTTCTTTTTTTTGTACTGGGGATTGAACCTGGGACCTTGTGCTTGTGAGGCAGGTGGCCGTAAAAAGGTTGAAGTAATGTATATTAACAGCAGTTAAGTAGACCTCTGAACAAAGAATGTTATCAGGGATAAACATTTCTTAACAATAAGAAAATTAATTTATCAAGAAGGTATAACAAAGCCGGGTGTGGTGGTGCAGGCCTGTAATCCCAGCACTTGGGAGGCTGAGGCAGGAGGATCGCTGGGCCAGCCTGGGCTACACAGTGAGTTCAAGGCCAGAATGAACCTAATAGCAAGATTAAAAAAAAAAAAAAAAAAAAAAAAAAAAAAGAAAGAAAGAAGGTATAACAAGTCTAATGCACATGTACCTAATACAGAGTTTCAAAATACATAAAAAAGCCAAACAGATAAAACCAAAGACAGAAATTGGGAGGCTCACCAATTATAATTAAAGATTTCAATATTAGTCTCTCAACAATTAAAAAAATTAGTAAAGATAAAATCTGAACAACATTCTGTCAGTCTCTGTGACCGTGGAGATCTGTGGAACACTCCATCCAATAACAAAATATACATATTCTCTTCAACAGATATGTTACATTTACCAAGAGCCATACAACAAATCTCAATACATTTAAAAATATAAAATTTATACCAAGTATGTTCTCTGACCTCAACAGAAATAAAGTGGAAATCAATAACAACAAGATGAAAACTAAACAACGTCCTTCTAAATAACCCATGGGCCACAAAGAAAATCAGCAAGGAAATTAGAGAGTATTTCATGTGGAACAATAACAAAAATACAATGATCAAAACTGGTAGGTCACTGAAGAGGAACTTGGAAATTCACGTACTAAACATTTAGTTCAAAATAATTATAGACCTACTATAAAAGCTATAACTAAAAAACTTCTAGAAGGAAACAGGGTAAAAGCATTACAAAGTTGAAGATGGCAATGATTTCTTACAAAATACAAAATCCCTAAACTTTAATAAAAGCTACTGCTAGAAAAATGAAAAGGCAGGGCCAGGGATTTAGCTGAATGGTTCCACCGCCTCACAGGCACAAGAACCTGAGTTCGATCCCTGGTACAAAAAAAAAAAAAAAAAAAAAAAAGGAAAAGCTAGCCACAGACTTGGAGAAATATTTCCATTTTTATCTGAGTAAAGGACTCTATCAAAAGCATCCAAGTCCTTTAACCACAATAATAAAATGAAAAAAATGCCAACAGTATACGAATAGATGCTCAGTATCATTATTCCTCAGAGAAAAGCAAGTTAAAACCACAGAGAAAAACTAAGCTCACTAAGTGTGCAAAGCATGGTAATACTAAGTGTTGGCAAGGATGGGGACTATCTGAATGTTTCCTACACTGATAAAAATGTAAAATAATACTATCACTTATCACTACTCCATTCTTAGATATTCACCCAAGAGAAATGAAGTCATAGCCAGGTGTGGCGGCGCACGGCTGTAATTCCAGCACTTGGGAGGCTGAGGTAGGAGGATTGCCGTGAGTTTGAGACCAGCCTGGGCTACACAGTGAGTTCCAGCTCAGTCTCAACTACACAGTGAGACCCTGTCTCAAAAAAACAAAACAAACAACAAAACAAAACAAACAAAAAAAGAAATGAAGTCATACAGCACACAAATGAATGTGTTCACAGCTTTCTTCACAATAGCTGAACACTGGGCACCACCCAAGCAGCCCACATAGGCACATGGATAAACAAATAAAGGAACGGGTAACTGCTCCATGCAACATCACTAACAAATCAAAAACACAATGCCAGCCAAGCTTGAACAAAGTCCCTTTCTTTAAAAAACAAAAGAGACAAAAGAATCCAGACACAGGGCTGAGGGTACAGTTCAGTAGTAGAGAGCTTGCCTAACATGCTCAAGGCCCTACGTTTGATCCCAGAACCACCAAGATTTAAAAATAAACACACAAACAAATAAAAAACTCTATACTTCAAAGAGTACACACTATATGCAAATTCCATTTACATGAAATTCTAGAAAAAATGACAGTGACAGAGAACCGCTCAGCGAGGCCTGGGGTGATGGTGGGGACTGACCATAAAGGTGCACAAAGGGATTTATAGACAAAATACACTATAAAAACAAAACAAGGCAAAAACCACTCTAATTTGATTGTGGTAGAGAGAGTAGTTAAATTGGTGCTTATATCTGTCAAAATCATCATCAAAATATACACTTAAGCTGGGTGTGGTGGCTCACGCCTGGAGTCCCAGCACTCCGGAGGCTGAGGCAGGAGTTCCAGGTCAGCCTGGGCTACATAGTGAGTTCCAGGTCAGCCTGAGGGACACAGGAGACCCTGTCACAAAAATCAAAAACCAAAACAAAGACAAAGTGTAACTTAAAATGGATGCCTTTCACTACATGTAACTAGATCACAGTGATGATTAATAATAACCAATATATTGTTTAGGTATAGACATAAATAATTTTTAAAAACTTTTCAAATCAAGAAAATGGTAAGCACATAAAATAGAACAATGCTAACCCTGGACTGGAGGGTGAGTAGAAGGAGGGAGGGTATCAAAAGGGGTTGGGGTGACGAAGATGAACCAAATTAAACTCATTTTTAAAAAGGGGGGTTGTAGGTAACACTGCCAATAGGCTCGTTCTTGGGTTGGGAACAGAAAGGCCTGCAGGGGAAGCAATGCCAGTAGTGTTTCATAATGAGGTTTAATTCCACGGACCTTAAATACAGATTAAAAGACAAGGTGGTCACCTCACCCATAAATTTCCCATGTCTCCGATGTCGGAAATATGCGGATAAAGCCACCTCTCCGATCATTCTCTTCCTTCACCCTCCGTAAAACTTTGATCTACACGGAGGAAGAGAAAGTGAGTACCTGCTTCGAAAACTGAAACCCATGTGGCTATTGCACTAAAGCATGAAGGGGAAGAATTCATTCCATTTACGACGATTTGAGAAGAAACTTCTCTCTTGGATCTTTTTCTCTCCAGCGTAAGGTGCAAGTTTGCCATGAACATTACCCATCAGTCACTCCCTTCACGAAGCCTGTGTTAGCCCGCAAAGGCCTGAAACGGGGTCATTTTTACCTCTTCCATCGACAGCCCAAGCACGGAGCCACCTAACTTCCCTAACATCTTCTCCCGGGCTGGGCCCACAAGGTTCTTCATTTCAGCATCACTGGCAGAGAGCGGGCGGGAACGCTACGGAGGGGGAAAGGAAAGCAAATAAAAAAACCAAATCATCATCTTTCCTTATTTCTCTCTGTTCATCCCCTAAGTGTCGTCATCTTTCCTAAGGGCCACCCTGGGTGCAATCTCAAGGACACAGTCCAATCTCTAGTTAATCTCAGCCTGAGACCCTGGGAAGTAGACAAAAGCTAGCAAATTCAAAGGCAAAAAGAGAAAGCAACACAGTAGGAAAAACGCTATGAGAGAGAAACAAGCAGAAAAATAAAAAATTGATGTCCAGCTATTTTCCTAAGTGAGCATTTACTCTTAATCTTGGTTTAAAAGCACATCCAACATTTCAAGGATATGGGGAAAAAATCTGCAAATAGCTTCACAGAAAAGTAAATGCGCATTTATGCCTGTAACTAGGGAAGGAGAGTATGGAGAAGCGAGAGCTAAGACACAAACACAAGGAAAATCTCTGCTAAAGATGAAAAGAGCAGGACTATGGGCAGTTTTAGAACTCCAGGGAGGAATACTGGCTTAGAGGCATCTACTGTCACACAGAGAGAGCTGTGACCAGGGCCACACTGGAGGAAGCACTGTGCTTGCTGGGCTTCGGGAGTCCTAAAATAAAGCCAGCAGCCCTTGGTGCTCCAACAGGGCGATCACAGGGTCATGTTCGTCACGGTCCCAATAAATGACCTGAATGACTGCAGCCACTGAATCACGACCAGGGGGCCATGTGAGTACAAAAGTTTCAAGTGATTTTGATGTTATAAGGAAATAATAGCAAAGCAGCAAGGCATCAGATGGTTCTCATTTTTTCCCAATATCCCTGGCCTCCCTTCACCCCTTCCACCCTCCCCTATTTACAGACTTTCTTTTCATTTTTTCCTTTTCTCATATTTTTCTTTTCTCTTATTTCCTTCCCCCTACCCTTCCCATTTCGCTTATACCTTTAGCTCTTTTCGTCCTATTTCATAGTCAGTTATACAATTTGGATCTTATTTACACTTTTAGTTTTTCATACCAGAGAAATTATTTGATATTTATACATGTGTGTCTTATTTATTTCACTTAAGAGTATGGCCTCAATATGCATCCATTTTCCTATGAATGACTCTAGTTTCTCATTCTTTATGGCTGAGTAATATTCTATTTTATAGAAAAACCACATCCTCTTTATCCAGTCTCCAACGGATGGGCAAATGGGCTGTTTCCAAGTTTTAGCTATGACAAACTGTGCTGCTATAAACATAGGTGTGCATATATCACTGTGGTATGATTCTTTTAATTCTTTTGGAAAGATACCCAGGAACGGGATGGCTGGGTCAAATGGAACTCTAATCCTAGTTCTTTGAGGAATCTCCATATTGATTTCCATAGTGGTTGCACCAGTCTGCACTCTCACCAACAATGGAGGAGGGTTCCTTTCTCCCCACAACCCGCTAACATTTGTTATTGATTGATTTCTTGACAGCAGCCATTCTTTGTGGGGTGAGGTGGAATCTCAGTGTTGTTTTCATCTGAATCTCTCGAATGATCAGTGATGTGGAACACTTTTTCATATATTTATTTGCTGCTTTTACTTCTTTGTCTGAGAGATGTCTGTTCATTTCAGATGTTCATTTTTGAATCAGGTAAGACCTGATTTGGCAGGGGCTGATTTTTTTGAGTTCTTTATATATTCTAGATAATAGTCCTTTGTCTGAGGAGCAGCTGGTAAAAATTTTCCCACATTGTAGGTTATCTTTTAGTTGTGTTGATGGTTTCTTTTGCAGTGCAGAAGCTTTTAAATAGGATGAGATCCCAGTTGTTGATTCTTTCTGCTAGTTCCCATGCTACTGAGGATTTGTTCATAAAGTCTTTTCCTATGCCAATGTCTTCAAGAGTTCTGCCTATCTTCCAGCAAATTTAATGACTATTTTTAAATATTTAGATCTTTAAACTAGATCTTTAAACATTTAGATCTTTAAACTGGATTTTAGTTTAGTGCATGGTGAAAAATAAGGATCAAATATTAATCTTTGGCAAGGTGAAATCCAGTTTTTCCAACACCATTTATTGAAGAGGCTATGTTTCCTCCACTGAGGATGGTTGGCTCCTTTGTCAAAGATGAGGTAGCTGAGTACATCTGGAGTTGTTTCTGTATCTTCCAATCTATTCCACTGATCCTCAGGTCCATTTCTTTGCCAGTACCATGCTGTTTTTATCACAGTGGCTTCATAGTATAGTTTCAAGTTGGGGATTGTTATACCCGCTGCCATGTGTCTGTTGCCTAGAATGGCTTTTGCTCTTTTAGGTCTCTTCTGGCTCCAAATGAATTTTTGGATTATTTTTTCTAGTTCTGTGAAATATACTGTTGGAATTTCAATCAGAATTGCATTGAATATGTATAGCAGTTTTGGAAGTATGGCCATTTTCACTATGTTGCTTCTTCCCACCCAGGAGCAGGGAATATCTTTCTATTTTCTTACATCCTCTTCTATCTCTTTTTTCAGAGTGCTATAGTTTTCAGCGTAGAGGTCTTTTGCTTTCTTCATACAACTTTTTTGTTGTTTGTTTTGGTACCGGGGATTGAACTCTGGTCTTTGCGCTTGCGAGGCAGGTGGCAGAACCACTGAGCTAAATCCCCAGCCCTTTTTCCCTCCTTCATCACATTACAAAGCCACATAAAATCACTGGCAACAAAACATCTATAGTCAAGCCGTTTTCTGACCTAACAATATTTAAGGGTACTTTAAAGTCATGTCAAATCATGTCAAGAGAAAGACAGGATAAGTATTCATTTAATGATACAGTAAAGAGTTTTTATTATACATTTTAGAATAGAAAGAAAGCTGTTCAAAAGTGATAAACTAATATCTGCATTACAAGGTCACTAAAATATTTCATGACACAGTTATTACCTATAAGAATAGTTTTAATATGTGACTGTTTATAAAAACTCATGTCAAGTCACTGCTGAATGATCTCTAATGGGCACTTCCAGTTTTGGAATTTTAAAAATAATCTTTAATATTCCTGGCTTCTAAAAATTGACAGATGGTTGCTTTTGTTTGTTTGGATTTTTACAAAGTTAAGAATTCCCCCAAAAAGCAAAGGAACTAGAAATTGCTCAATTTATAAGTCCTGCACTTTTGCCACCTCAAAACATAAAAGGTAAAATCAATCTTAAAAAGGAAAATAAGATAATGCTACCAAATGAAAGAAAGAAAGAAAAAAAGACCACACATCAGTGAATCTTGTTAGAAATGGACCAAAAATGCTCACTAAAGAGAATGTTTAAATGTACTGATATGATATAATCCCAGCGCTCTGGAGGCTGAGGCAGGAGGATCACCACCAGTATGAGGCCAGCCTGGGTTACACAGTGAATTCAAGGCCAGCCTGAACTACCCAGTGAGACTCTCGGGGAAAAAAAACAAAAACAATAAATAAATAAATAGGAAATTAAGAGTAGAATTATGTATCAGAAACATTGATGTCAAACTCAGAAGGCTATCAAATAGCATTTTTAAATACTCTTTAAATAGATTACTTCATGAGATATTTAGAATGTTTTGTTTTACAATGGGTAGCAGTTGATATATTTACCTACTTACTAAATATATAATACAACATATGATTTTGAATTCTACTATCTCAATATCAAAATGTGTATCATAGAACCATATTAACTGGTTACCAAATACAAGGTAAGGAATCCTGTTTGTTTTTTTTTTTTCATTTCCTAGATTCATGTAAACCCATATAAATCACTATCAGGAGTAGAAGTTAAGAAAGTTATAATTAAAGCTTCCAAACTTACCAGAAATTGCATCAGAGTGCAAATGTCAAAACAAATATACTAGCACTAAATAACTAATAGTTGCAGTGACACACTTAAGTATAAGAACAGCTACCAAAAATAACATCGCTTTTAGCCTATTGCTTCAAACAGATGTTTAAAAACAAAAAAAGATCTACAAAGAAGGAAGTGACAGTTCATCTCAAATACTCCTTGAAGAAGAGTAGGAGGCAAACTGGTGATCATTCAAACAGAAACTTTGTTCTTTTCAGACAGATTTTTTTTTTT